GAGTTTGAGGTTTGGCTGTGAAGCTAGCTGAGCGCACGGCATCACTCGGTAGCCTGGCGGCAACCAAAGCGGAGACTTCAGTGTCTCAAAAAAAAAAAAGAAAAAAGATATGTACAACAAATGTACTTATGGCATCAATGAAATAGGAATTTTGAAACAACCTAAATATGCAGTTGATAAGATGGATGACGTAAGTAAATGACTACTGTTCCAACGATAAGTAGAAATCATCATACGCTTTTTTTCTTGTTGTTGTTTTTATTGGTTTTGAGGGGACACAGGTCTCACCGTATGTCCCGGCTCAGAGTTGCTGGCATAGGCCTAGCTCACAGCAACACTCAAACTCCGGGCTCAAGCAAGCCTTTGCCACAGCCTTCCCAGTATCAGGGGACTACCAGGCCAGTTGGCCCCCATTGCCGCAGTAGTATAATATCATTATATGTATATTTTTTTTTAGTGAGCAGTGGAAGACTAGCATATATTTATATAATAAATATAATAATATATAATATATATTGTAGTTATATTATAAAGAGCGAGACCCCGTCTCTACTATAAATAGAAAGAAATTAATTGGCCAACTAATATATATAGAAAAAATTAGCTGGGCATGGCGGCGCATGCCTGTAGTCCCAGCTACTTGGGAGGCTGAGGCAGTAGGATCGCTTGAGCCCAGGAGTTTGAGGTTGCTGTGAGTTAGGCTGACGCCACGGCACTCATTCTAGCCTGGACAACAAAGTGAGACTCTGTCTCAAAATAAATAAATAAATAAAAAAATAAAATAAAATAAGGTCAGGAGTTTGAAACCAGCCTGAGTAAGGGTGAGACCCTATCTCTACTAAAAATAGAAAGAAATTAATTGGACAACTAAATATATATAGAAAAAATTAGTCGGGCATGGAGGTGCATGCCTGTAGTCTCAGCTACTTGGGAGGCTGAGGCAGAAGGATTGCTTGTCCCCAGGAATGTGAGTTTGCTGTGAGCTAGGCTGACACCACGGCACTCTAGCCCAGGCAACAGAGTGAGACTCTGTGTCAAAAAACAAACAAACAAAAAACACTGGTTGTTGCTCAGGTATTATTATGGTCACCGGCTTGCCAGCTTTTTTGGAGGGTCAAAGTGGGCTGTTGGCATTACCCTTCTACCTCTCCTGCTACTGGGTTGGAATCCAGGGGCAGCTTGGAGCTCTTTGGTAAGTGGTGGAGCTAGGGGCTGGTGGGAGGTAGTCCACCCCTCTCTCCCCATCCCCATTCTCCCCTCTATTCGATAGGCATATGCTGACTACATCGGATTCATCCTCACCCTCAACGAAGGTGTGAAGGGAAAGAAGCTGACCTTCGAGTACAAAGTCTCTGAGGTAGGCACAAGGAGGAGCCTGCTGTAGCCGCCTTCCCAAAAATAGCTCCAGTCACATGGGCTCAGTGCTTACCACCAGGCCAGTGTGGAAAATAAGATTACCCAAACACATGTGCACTTCACATTTTGATGTCTATAATTCTAATTTTTTAAATCTATGAATAGATGGATATTTACAGAATTGGAATCAATGTAAATATGCTGTTTTATTTTTTTTATTTTTTTATTTTTTTTAAATTTTAAATAAGGAACCACATTTTCTGCTATAAAATGCTGTTTTATAGCCTGCATTTTTGCTAACTGGTGGCTTTTTATAACCTTTCAAATTAAAAAAGATTATAAAAGAAGTAGGCTGGGCATGGTGGCTCATGCCTGTAATCTTTGCACTCTGGGAGGCCAAGGCGGGAGGATTGTTTGAGCTCAGGAGTTTGACCCAGCTGACAAGAATAGACCCTATCCTCTACTAAAAAATAGAAAAAATTATCTGGACACTAAAAAAAAAAAAAAAAAAAAAAAGAATATATATATGATATAATAGTATATATATATAGTATATAAAGTAGCCGGCATGATGCCAATGCATGCGCCATATCCCAATACTCAGGAGGCTGAGGCAGTAGGATGCTTGAGCCCAGGATTTGAGGTTGCTGTGAGCTGGCGATGCCACGGGGCACTCTAGCCGGGGAAAGAAAGTAGACTCTGTCTCAAAAAAAAAAAAAAAAAAGGAAGAAGAAGTAAACGTGCTCACTGGAGAGCTTGCTAATAGAAATGTTATTAAAATAACATTAACAGAAAAGCTGACCTCTCCCTATGTTTTCCCTCATACCGAACATCTGGGGCAGCCCCTGTTGACAGCACACACCCCAGGAAATCATGAGCACCTCTTCCCCTGCAGTATAAGTGGCTGCCTCGGTGGGCTTTACCCTTGTTTATTGAAACAACTCCAAGGGTTGACTTTAGAATCTTGGTTGTATTCCTAAACATTGTTGCCCTGAGCATCCCTACACATAGATCTGCTTTCTAAGAATGCATTCTTTTTTTTTTTTTTTTCCGGCATATTATGGGGGTATAGATTTTAAGGTTTCAATAAATGCCCTTTCCCCCCTCCCTCCACAAGTCTGAGTCTCCAGTGTGACCATCCCCCAGATGGTGCACATCTCACTCATTATGTATGTATATACCCGCCCCCTTCCCCCCTCCCACCTTCCCAATACTGTATTACTGTAGTGCCTATGTGTCCACTTAGGTGCTGCTCAGTTAATACCAGTTTGCTGGTGAGTATATGTGGTGCTTGTTTTTCCATTCTTGGGATACTTCACTTAGTAGTATGGGTTCCAGCTCTAACCAGGAAAATATAAGATGTGCTATATCACCGTTGTTTCTTAGAGCTGAATAGTACTCCATGGTATACATATACTACATTTGATTAATCCATTCTTGGATTGATGGGCACTTGGGCTGTTTCCACAGCTTTGCAAGGCTGTTTCCACAGCCTTGCAACTATGAATTGTGCTGTTATAAACATTTGAGTGCAGGTGTCTTTTTTGTAGAGATCATTGGATCTTTTGGGTAAGATGCCCAGTAATGGGATTGCTGGATCAAATGGTAGATTCACTTGTATCGCTTTAAGGTATCTCCATATTGCTTTCCACAGAGGTTGAACTAGATTGAACTACACCTGCAGTGTAGGAGTGTGCCTCTCTCCACGCCAGCATTTATTGTTTGGAGACTTTTTTGATAAAGGCCAAGAATTCATTCTTATAAGTAGAAATGCTGAGTCAAGGGATACACGCTTTTTTTTTTTTTTTTGCCTTTGGGTACACACTGCTGGGTAGGTGCCTTTTGGATGTTTGGGTGGTGTTTCAGAGATAGGCTTGGTGTAGGGAGGGCAACAGCCATGGGGAAGCAGATACCCATCGGAGGGTGTGGTCTTGCAGGTTGTTTGCTTTTGCTAGGGTTGCCATCTCCCAGGGCTAGGGCCCAGACCTCCAGTGGCCTCTTGGGTTCATGTCCCAGTTAGCCTAGAGCCACCTTGAGCCTCTTATCACAGACACCAGGGCCTCAGCAGCCTCTCTCAGTGCCTTGGCCCACCCAGCTGGCTAGCCATAGCCTTAGGCTTGTTGGGAAAGGTCTGGCCCTGCTGCAGCTCAATTTCTCTACTTTTCCCAAGACCACCATTGTCCCCTTAGCCCTCATATCCAGCCCTTGGTGGAATTGCCTCTTCCTGGGCCTTATCTGACTGCTGGGTGGCTGAGGTCCTGTTCTATTCACTGGAGGGGAATCAGGCCCGTGCAAGGGATAGACAGCTTTCACTTGGGACTCAGCCCACCAGTGGCTTTTTGCGTTCCTCTTGGGGCCACCAGTGCTCTGGGACTGTGGCTCTAAGTGCAGGATGGCTGGGGAGGGGGAGGGCTTTTCCTTGAGCCTGTGGGGAGGGATGCTCAGCTGTGCTCAGTGGGCCAGGAGTGTTGAGGGGGAGGGCTAATTAAAGGGGAATGTTGTAATTACCCCAGCAAATCCTTAGCTGCTAAATCCCTTTCAGGGTCCTTAATTGCCCCTGAGGCTTTGATGGTAGACATCCACACCAACCAGGTATTGTCTTTAGCTGGAGAGCTACTTTTGCAGGATTGCAGTGTGATTACAGGCTTGGAGTCAGGCTGACTTTGTGGTAACCTGTCAACTTTGGAACTAGCGACCTTGTCATTTCTGACCCTCTATTTCCTCATCTGTGGATGGGCAAGAGCCAACAGATCTACTCATGACTCCATGGGGAGGATTCACTGAGATCTCACATCTGGGTGTTTTTGCATAGCGCCTGGCACAGACTAAATGCATTTATTGTTGACTGGGCATGATGGCTCTCGCCTGTAATCCTAGCACTCTGGAAGGCCGAGGCGGCGGATCGCTCAAGGTCAGGAGTTCAAAACCAGCCTGAGCAAGAGTGAGACCCCATCTCTACTATAAATAGAAATACATTAATTGGCCCACTAAAAAAATATATATATAAAATTAGCTGGGCATTGTGGCACATGCCTGTAGTCCCAGCTACTCGGGAGGCTGAGGCAGAAGGATTGCTTGAGCACAGGAGTTTGAGGTTGCTATGAGCTAGGCTGACGCCATAGCACTCTAGCCCGGGCAACAGAATGAGACTCTGTCTTGAAAAAAAAAATGCATTTATTGTTAACTACTGTTATCATTAAGTATTATTCAGGTTTTTTTTTTATTTCGGCATATTATGGGGGTACAAATTTTAAGGTTTCAATAAATGCCCTTTCTCCCCCTCCCCCCACAAGTCTGAGTTTCCAGCATGACCATTCCCCAGATAGTGCACATCTCACTCATTATGTATGTATATACCTGCTCCCCTTCCCTGTATTATTCAGTTTTAATTTTCAATAGTGTTCCTTCTGTCAGGGCCTTTTCTGATCTGGGGTTCATCCTAGTCACCAGAGTAGTGGTCTGTGCCTCACTTGGTGGGCAGAGATAGCTGATACAGTCTCCAGATGTCTCCCAACTTCTCCCCACAGCTGGGAGGGGCAGCAGAATGGACAGCTCTCAGCATGTGGGGGCCACACACAGGGGCTCTCTTCCTATCTGGAATGGCTGTCTGGGCTTCCATACCACCCGAAGCAAAGAATACAGCAGGGATGATATAGCCAGTTTGTCTAGACCCAAGTTTAGAAAGCTATCTTTCGTTTTGAGATTGTGCCTTCTCTACCCTTTGGGGCTTAAGATTTTCGAGTTTTGCAAAGTAAAGGTGACAGTAGATAGGAGATTTATTTTGGTTCTGTTGAATTTTTTTTAATGTACTAAGGGAGCAAAATAAAAAATTGGGTGATAAAATTTTAAGGAAGATTTTACTGGTCCATGAAATCAAAAAATCTTTTTCCAGGAAGAAGGGAGGGTAGCTGAAGTTATTCTTTTGTCTCAAAAGAGTTCCAGCCCACAGTTCCCTCCCTGTCCAACTCTTCTCTGCCAACACCCCAAACAATAGAGGCAGCCCCCTGCATTTAAAAAGCCCTCTCCAGAAAGAGGAGCTGGGCATGTTTTAATTATTCATTGAGCTAGCAGCTGGGTCCTGGCTCCAGTGGCCTCCAGAGGCTTCCTTTTTTATCCCGTCAGTGCCTCACCTAAGACTGAGAGCCCCAGGGAATGTGGGGCTTGCTGGGGCTTCCGGGGCCAAGAGTACTGTGCCGTCCATCGGGTTTGCCTGTTCTCATTAGCTGTTCCTGATGACCTGGTTCTTCACAAAGCCAGGCTCTGGCAGCACCCTGTCACATTTCAGCAAGGCGGCTTTATGCCACCCCAGCCCTCTGCCTCAGCCAGGTATAAAGGGAAATTTCTCCTCTTACTCGTGTTTTACTCCTCTTACTTCTGTTTTGTCTCTTTATGGTGTTTTCTATTGTTTAGCACACTAAGAATTTCAGAGGCAGAGGTGCCCCTGGATTCAGGTCCCAGCTGAAATATCACTTAGTTGCTGTGAGATCTTGAACAAGTGACTTTAATTCTTGTCAATGTTTATGCCCCAAGAATAGGTAAAGGGGAGGTGAGGTAGAGCAGCATTCAGGGCCATTGTCACACTGTACATCGCCAGGGGACACTATTTACATAGACTGCAAAGCCATTGGTGCTTCCTGGAGCTGTGTAGCTGGGCACACGGGCCAGCCTGGTTTCTGCTAGCTCGAGCCTGCCTCCCCCAACCCTCCTCTCCCAGTGTACACACAGCTCTCAGCAGCGCCTCTGCCACCGCAGCAGGCCGCGTGTGCCTTGCCCTCCCAGGCGCAACTTGCCGTGTGGACATCACTCTGCTAGTTCCTGCCCAGTGCCAGGATTTCCTAGAGGTTTCTCTTTATGCTGTTTGTTCCCATAGACACAGGCAAGATCCAATTCCTGGCAGGGACCCTCTTCTGAGGGCTGCCTAACTTGAATCGCCTTTGCATGGCGTTTCCCACCAGCCCCAGCGCTGCCCTATTTCCACAAGCCACACTTGGAAGGAGTACCCTGTAACCGCCTTCACGGATCTATGGTTGGGGTGGACAGCCCTACTTGCTTTCCTGATTGAATAACATTTTGTGTGCCAGTTCTGCCCACACCTGTGACTCCAATTTCACTTCTTAGTTCCTTTTCTGTGGGAAAGGTATAGGGAGATGGGCTCCCAAAACCCTTCCTGCCCTCTGGAGTCACACGATGACCCAGCATTTCCAGAATAGTTGAGTTGCAACACCATAGTGGTGTTTGTGGTAGCAAAACAATTGGAAACAACCCAAACATTTAACAGTGAGGAACTAGCTAAATAAATTATGATACATTAGTACAATTAAGTACTATTAACTTAGTAAAGGTTGAAACAAAATTATGTTTACATGTTGCTGTGGAATGAGGTTCACGAGTAAGAGGAGCAGGCTGCAAAGCAGAATGTGCCTGTGTATGAATTTATTCTGTTAGCCTGTGCAGGGCACTGCACTCGGGATATTTATCATCAGCCCCATTTCGGAGATGAAGAAACTGAGGCTCAGAGAATTAAAGTCACTTGCTCAAGATCTCACAGCAATTAAGTGATATTTCAGCTGGGTTCTGAATCCAGGGGCACCTCTGCCTCTGAAATTCTTAGCATGGTAAACAATAGAAAACACCATAAAAAGACAAAACAGAAGGTCATGTTAAAATGCTAATAATGTTTATTTCTTGGTGGCAAGCTTACTGGTAATTTTCATTTTCTTCCTTTTACATTTCTGTGTTCTGTGATGAGTAGATATTGTGTACTTTTTGTTGTTGAGACAGAGTCTCACTCTATTGCCCTGGCTAGAATACGGTGGTGTCACCTTAGCTCATTGCAACCTCCAACTTCAGGGCTCAAGCTCAATCCTACTGCCTCAGCCTCTTGAGTAACTGGGACTACAGACTCACACCACGACACCTGGCTAATTTTTCTATTTTTTTTTTAGTAGAGATGGGGTCTCACTTTTGCTCAGGCTAGTCTCAAACTGCTGACCTCAAGTGATCTTCCTGCCTCAGCCTGCCAGAGTGCTAGGATTACAGGCGTGAGCCACTGTGCCCGGCCGATACTGTGTACTTAACAAAAGACCTGAGAGGCAGGCTGGTGGCGTGCATGTATAGTCCTAGCTACTTGGGAGGTTGAGGTAGGAGGGTCTCTTGAGCCCAGGAGTTCAGGGCTGCGGTGAGCTGTGATTGCACCACTGCACTCCAGCCTGGGCGACACAGCAAGACCCTGTTTCTAAAAATAACAATAATAAGAAATAAAAATATAACAAAATACCCTAATAAAATATTTTTTAAAAGGTCAGGGCTGGAGTTGATGCTTGTCTAGTAGCTCCTTCTGGGTAGACTGGCTGTAGAAACCAGATGCTGAAGCCACTCCATCCCTGTCCTGCCACCCTAGTGCTCTTCCCTTTTTGCAAATCTCATTGTGCTCTGCTGACCCTCCTTCATATTTAGGACAGTGAGGAAGAAAGGGGACAGCAAGGAGAATGGCTTGTTAGTGCCATGCTGAGCAGTCATTGTCCAGAAGCAAGTGGAACTTCCCTCTGTTGCTATTGCCTGTTATTGTGGCTTGGTTCCCTCTGTTTTGCCTCCATAGGCCATTGAGAAACTGGTTGCTCTTCTCAACACGCTGGACAGGTGGATTGATGAGACTCCTCCAGTGGACCAGCCCTCTCGATTTGGGAACAAGGCGTACAGGACCTGGTATGCCAAGCTCGACTTGGTAAGGCTACCACTGGACAGGCTTGGGGGCTGGGCTAGTGGGGAGGGTGATTCCGGCACCAGACGAGAAAGGGCCTGCATTGTTTAGAGCTTTCAAACATATCAGAATCACATGGGGTTTATTAAAACGCCAATTCCAAATGAGTTTACCCTCTGTCCTAGCCATCGTCTGGGAATTGCTATTGTAGCTATACAGTTCTCTGCACAAGGCTGTTTATGAAGTCATTGTTTGTATTAGTAGCAGGTTGGAAATATCCCAAGTATTCATTTGCAGGCGATCAATTAAATTAATCCATTCACAACGTGGAGTACTATGCAGCTATATAAAGGGTAAGGAAGCTGTTTAGGGAACTCAGTGGAAGGGACTTTAACTCATTCTTGGTTAAAGAAGCATCAAGTGTAATGATGTAGATTGTAAGCTATCTTTTGCTAAGAGAGAGGGAAAAATATATGTTCCTGTTGCTCATGTTTTCATAAAGAAACATCCCTGGAAGAATGCACATGAGGCTAATAAAGCTGAGGTTTCTTTTTGTAGGCAGAGGAGGGTGGGATGGAGTGAGACTTCTCAATGCATCCTTCTGTAATGTTTTTGTTTTTGAATCTTATGAGGCATTACCTGTTCAAAGCGAACAGAAAACAAAAATGTAGGATCTCAGGCCACATCCTTAGAAAAGGAGAGTCTGTAGGTCTAGAAGGGCCTGGGAATCCAGATTTTCACCAGCTCACCAGGAGTTCTCATGCCAGTTGTCAACAGCTGAGCTTACAGAAACTTGGCTCCTAATTCCTTTGCCCAGTGTTTTCGTAGAGGGCAGAAGAGGGAGTACTGAGGACCCAGCAAGATGCTATCCAAAGAATGGCTTGGGGTGCCTCTGCACTCTAAGGTGGCATGTGCTCTTGTTTTTAAAAAAGATTTTTATTAAATCATAACTTAAAGGTGATAAATCACAGCTGTACAGCTTGATGGATCTTTACATATGTTTTTTGCCATGCACTGACTACCCATATCAAGCTATAGAACATTCTAGCACTCTGGCAGGGCCCTTGTGTCCCCTCCCAATTGATACCCCCCAGACTTTTCTGATTTTTATCTCATCAATTGATTTTTGCCTGATTCTGAACTTCATATAAATGTCTAGCTTCTTTTGCTCAATGTTATGTCTGTGCGATTTATCCACGTTGTTGTGTATAGCAGCAGGTCTTTTTCACTGCTACATAGTATTCCATTGTGTGAATATACCAGTTTATTCATTCCACTGTGGATGGACATTCAATTTCATTTCCCCATTTTGACCAGTATGAACAATGCTGCTGTGAACATTCTTGTGCATGTCTTTTGGTGGACATAGCACAAACTCTTGCTGCCCTGGAAGTGTGAAGGAAAATGGCACCTATGGGGACCATAGCACTGACCTCCTGGAGTCCCCTTGGGGCTCCATTGAGTTACCAGCTGGGAGAGTTGAATGGCTCCTACTCAGATTTGTCCTGTCTTTCCCCCAGACCCCTGTGCCCTGGAGGAAGGGTCAGCAGATGATAAGCCACCCTGAGGTAGTCTTTCAGTTGTGTAAGAATAAATGCTATTCCTCTTCTTTCTTCTGGGGCCAGTCAGAACAGGGAGCCAGGCCTGGTACGGCAGCCTGGGCTCCTGCCCACTGGGATGCTGCCTAATCTGCTGCCACCACTTTGTGTCTCTTGTGTTATCAGGAAGCAGAAAACTTGGTGGCCACAGTGGTCCCCACCCATCTGGCAGCTGCTGTGCCTGAGGTGGCTGTTTACCTAAAGGAGTCAGTGGGGAACTCTACGCGCATTGACTATGGCACAGGTATCTGCTGCTTGGAGGGCTCTGCACGTATTTGACTTCACTGCTTTACTTGGGCTCTGGATGGCCTTGGGGCTCTCTGAACAGCAAGAGTTTGCCAAGCTCCTGCAGCCTCTTGGGGCAATCTGGGGTACAGGGTGGTTGCAGGGGCAGGTGGGGGTGGGGTGGGGGACAGTAGTGTCTGGAGGCCTGATGCTGCAGCTCTAGCATGTCCACCAGGGGGGGCTGATGCCACATGCATGCTTATGTGCACAGAGCTGATTTTTTTTTTTTTTTTGAGACATTCTCTCTTGCTCTGTTGCCCCGTGTAGCGTACCATGGTGTTATCATAGCTCACTGCTACCTCAAACCCTGGGGATCAAGTGATCCTCCTGCCTCAGCCTCCTGAGTAGCTGGGACTATAGGCACGTGCCACCATGCCTGGCTAAGTTTTCTATTTTTAGTAGAGACAGGGTCTCGCTCTTGCTGAGGCTGGTCTTGAACTCCTGAGCTCAAGTGATCCTCCTGCCTTGGCCTCCCAGAGTGCTGGGATTACAGGCATGAGCCACAGTCATGAAAGAACTTTTTTGGTAGCCTCTGTAGCATCATGGCACACCCTCTCCCTGACTCCCCTTGTTTCCACCACATTCTCTATGCTGTTGAGCACTTTGAATCCCTGGTCCATGTCAGCCAAGCTGACTTGGACTTTGATGAGGAGTATGTGGGCACAAAGGACACTTGCTCTCTAGGTCAGGGGGTGGCTTGTGTATCTAAGGAGGAATACTGCTTTGGTATGGGGCCCACTCTCCTTTCTGCCCTGAAGCAGGCTAACGGGGGGGGGGGGGGGCTGCTGTTGTCTCAGAGCCCTCCCCTTGTGGAGCTTGTGGATCTTGGTTCACAGAAGGAAGCCCAGACCACAGAGACAGGCTCTGGAAAAGGGCCCTCTTGGACCTGGATCCTGGGGAAGTTTTGTCCTCTGCTTCCCCCTGCTGCTGGGAAACAGGTTTATCAAGTGTTTGACCTTTGAGGGTGGAGCTTTGACTAAGACCAACAGGGAAAAGATCCCAGAGGGCAGCCTGGCAGGTCCGCAGAAGGTGGTGCACCAGAGCCCCTGAGTGATAGTTGTTTGGACTCTGACTGGTCATATGTGGAAACTGTCGTAGGTGAAGAAAACTGAGCTCACAGGCTTTCCTGGGCTCTGAAGAGATCGTCATTCTGCATAAATAGGACAGGAAGTTGCTGACATACTCTCTCCTCACCTCCCTCCAAATATGTTTTTTATGACACCATGAACCATGGGATTCAGTCCAAAGTTCAGTCAGTGGGCTCTGTAGTGATGACCATTCCTATTTGACATGATTGGGAAGGGATTAAGGGTGCCTTTGACCCTGTAGTCTGACCATGTTCCCTGCTTAGAAGCCTGCAGTGGCTCCCTGTTGCTCTTAGGGTAAAGTCTGAGTGCTATACTATGGCCATTAAGCTCCATCTGACCTGTAACCTCATCTCATTATACTTTCTTCCTTGCTCTTGCTGCTCTAGACATACTCGCCCTCTTAGGGTTCTTCAAACAGATGCAGCCTTTTCTTGCCTCAGGACCTTTGCACATGCTCTCTTTTCTGGCTACAATGCATTTCTTGCTTCCCTCACCCCCTTTGCCTTGCTAACTCTCATTCATCTTTCAGATTTCAGATTAAATGTTACTTTCTTAGAGGAAACCTGTGATATCCTCCAGTTATTACCTTTCTCCTTCAGAGCTAGAATCATAGTAGTGATTTAATGTCTGTCGTCCCTAATGAGTCATGAACTCTTTGAGCGCAGGGATTTGTTACTATCTTCCTAGTGCCTGACATGGACATTGCCCACATAATAGGTACTCAATAAATAGGGTGGAATTCCTGTGTGAGTTAAATCTACAAAATAAAATGTAAATATCTGTTTCAGGAGTCAACACCCTGGGCCTTTTAGGAGTAGAATAATAGTTCTAATAGTTCTTGAAAGAGCCTAATATTAATAGGTCTTTATGGACTGGGAAGAGGCCCCGTTATCTCCACGTTGCCTCCTTCCTCAGAGGGGTACTTAACAGTGATTTGAATCAGGGAGACCAAAAGCAATCCCAGTCCTTTTTCTGGAAGACCATCAACCTTGACTGTGTTTTCTCTCTCAGGGCATGAAGCTGCCTTTGCTGCTTTCCTCTGCTGTCTCTGCAAGATTGGCGTGCTCCGGGTGGACGACCAAATAGCTATTGTCTTCAAGGTGTTCAATCGGTGAGGGAGAGGAGGGTAGGAGGACAGGGAGTGAGGGGGACCTCTTTCCTCCTCCGACTGAGGCCGGGTGCTGGAGGGTTCTCCTGAGTGGCTCACAGTTCTCTTGTCCTGTCCTAGTCAAGCTCTGGCTGTGGATGGAGTGTCTAAGACTCCTTTTTCTGACAAGTTTAAATGTACCACCCAGTGAAAACAAGTGAAGGAAATGTCACATACTGACTGCTAATGCTTCCACGTGTTTACCTTGTAGCGGTACCCTTCTAAGTGCTTTACACATAACTCATTTAATTCGTACAACAACTGTATGAAGTAGCAACTGTTATTTCTGTTTTATTGGTGAGGAAACGGAGGCACAGAGAAATCAGGTCTCTTCAGTGAGGTCACGCAGCTGAACACAGGCAGTCAGGCTCCGCCCTGCTGCCCCTCACCACCCTAGCTCCTGCTGGGCAGCACAGGTGTGTGTCAGAGTCACCCGGAGAGTCTTAGCATGTCCACTCCTGGGCCTTGGTGGTGCTGATGCAGCAGGCCTGTGGCGGAGCCCAGGATGCGCGTGTGAAGCCGCACAGGTAGCGGAAGCATAGCCTCCGCTAGAACTGGAGGTCGGAGCCAGAAGGAATCTACCTGGACTCCCATCAGCTTCCCGACGGGCAAGCCAAGCTCGGAGAAATTGAGGCTTCGGCCCAAGGCCTTACTTCTTATCAGGGGTTGATGGCACTAAAACCCAGGTTCGGAGTCAGTGTTTGTCCCTTTCCTGGGCCAAAAGAAGGCCAAATGTGGGGGGAAAAATAAAGCTGCATTATTTTGAGAGTGCCAGCTACAACTTAGGCCTGGAGGTTTCAACTGAAATCTAGACCGTTACAATCTTAAGTGGTTATCTCTGGCCTTCTGGTATTCCCGATGGCAGAGGGTCGAGACTGTCTTTTGACTTTTTGCTACCTTTCCTTTCTTTTCCCACTCTCCTGTGCAGGTATCTTGAGGTTATGCGGAAACTCCAGAAAACATACAGGATGGAGCCAGCCGGCAGCCAGGGAGTGTGGGGCCTGGATGACTTCCAGTTTCTGCCCTTCATCTGGGGCAGTTCACAGCTGATAGGTATTGCGGGGGTGGGGGTGTCTATCCCTCTACCCCCTGCAGGCTGCATTCTGTACCTCCCCGTACCCCTCCTGCTTTCTCGCTTTCCATTCTGCCCAGGGCAGACAGTGACAGCTTGGAAAGCAGGGCATTAGACTGGCTATTGATGGAGGCTGTTTGCTGGTGACCTTCTGCTGCAAGCCCGTGTGGCGGGCCGGGGGAGGCGGAGGCAGAGCACTGCCAAGATAATGGGAAGTGACATGGGCTGGAGCAAGGGCGCTTGCCTGGCGCATAATGGACTGGTGTGAAATGTGCCCCAGCTCCTGGCAGCAGCTGCGGGGTTTTATGTTGAAAATGAGGGGCTCTTTTGATTCAGAGGCCAACGTCATTCACTGTTATTACCGAGCTTTGTGCAGGGGAGCCTGTCAGGGAGCTGCTGCTGAGTGCTGGGCGGTGGGCCTGCTTCGGTGACTCCCCTGCACTCTTGAAACTGTTTTCTAGGCTGTGGGTGGGGTGATCATCTCTATTTTGATTCAAAATGAACTGCCTACAAAATAATATTCACAAATGACCATTGGTTGAGGACTTGCTCTGTGCCAGGCACTGCTCTAAGTGCCTCAGGTACATTGCCTCCCTGAATCTTCTCAGTGGCCCTGTGAAGGGTCTTTGCCAGCATCAGGCCAGCACCACTAACACCTGTGCCAGGCACCCTGCTGGTGAGTGCTGTGGGTGTGGTGATTGTCATGTGGGCCTCAACCGCCCAGAGGGAGGTACTGTTCTTATCCCCACTGCCCAGGTGAGGAAAGCGAGCCATGGTGGGCTGAAGTCATTCATCCAAGGTCACAGAGCTAGAGAGAGGCAGAGCTGGAGCTCAGCACATCAGGACACGCACACATGCCATTTATTGCTCCTGCGAGGTCAAATGTTGAGAGCACCATGGGCAGAACTGTGCCCCTTGGGTGGGGGTCAGCTGTGCTGGGCTGGGGTGCCCAGGTGGTGTGAGAGCCTGGGTCTGAACTCCAGGGCTCTTTGCTCTTCCCAGACCATCCGCAGCTGGAGCCCAGGCACTTTGTGGATGAGAAGGCCGTGAATGAGAACCACAAGGACTACATGTTCCTGGAGTGTATCCTGTTTATCACTGAGGTGAGGGGTAGGGGGTGAGGGAGAAGCCCATGGCCGCCTCCAGGCTCAGACAAACCAAGGCTGGTGGCTTTAGAGTGGGACACAGGAGCCAGAGCTGCTGCTCAAAGATGGCATGGCTGGCACCAGAGTCGGGTATTGAAAAGGAAGTCCCACCGGGTGTCTCCTGAAATGCTTAGTCAGCTTCTGACCATCCAGGATCTCCTCCGCCAAACCTGGGGTTTCTACTGAACACCACAGGACTCTTGAGCTGAGGGACTAAGACTCAGTCACTAGCTGGACTTGGGGACCGATGCAGCAGGTATGAAAGGCTGGGCAGTGTTGTGGGGGAGGGTCCGCATCTTTCAGTGGGGCCCACAAGGGTCTGTGGGGCTGCGTGCTTATGAATGTGCAGACCGGAACTGCCGGCGGAGACCTCGGCGCCGACTTCCAGAGTAGACAACCTTCAGCTAAAGGGACACATCTCTCAGTACCTGAAGACATGGGCCTGAGCATAGTGCTGGAGATGAAAACAAGTAGGCCTGTGGTGGCCATCACTGGGCTGCCAGCCCACCTGGCAGGGGCTCTGTGGCTGGAAGCTCTAGCCTCACCAAGGCAGAGTTCCTCATGGTGGGCTTTGGACCACTTCTTCAAGATCACCTGGGGAGTAGTTTGTTAACATGTACGTTCCTGGGCCCCACCCCAGCTTATTAAATCAGAATCTTAGGAGTCAAGAGCCAGGAACCTGTATTTAAACACACTTTCTAGGTGACTACACAGGAAACAGAGGACCCACTGCTCTCAGGCCTCTCTTCCTTCTGGGAGGTGTCAGGACTTTTCATCTTCCTTGCCCTGTACCCTCCCTGCCCCTACCAACTTCCAAAGGGCGCCCTGTCTGGAGCTGGTTCTTGTCCTCCCGCCCCTTCCTGTGCCTACACGCACGCCTGCTGCCTCAGTGATGCCCCTGGCACACCTGTGGACTCCTGCCTGTGGGGGCTGCTCTCTTGGCAGTCCGTTCTGAGCCCCCTGAAGAGGTGGAGGAGCTGGTTACGCAGCCGGGGCTCTAAGCTCTTCGTGGTCAGCATTCGGCTCAGGCTTCTGCCAAACTCCAGAGGCCAGAGGGGAATGACACATTTTTTCCAAGTCAGCAAATGGAGCTGGGACTGACGGCTGGGCGGCCACTGCTGCATTCTCAGAGATCTGCTGCCTTCAGCAGTGTAGCAGGCCCAAGGTCGGAAGGACTTGGGGGCGGCCTGGCTCGCTGCCTTGAAAACCAGTCACGTGCTGCTCTCTTCATCATGGAATGCGAGACCCGAGGATGAGCTGGAGGACCAGGGTGCAAAGAAGGGGTGCATATTGTACCCTGAGCTCGTGCTTGGGCTAAAAGCCCAGCTGTTTTGGCTCCTGCTGGTGGCTGACCAGGCCCCTGGGTCCCTGTCAATAATTCTAGCTGGGAGGCAGGCCTGGCCTGGCCTAGGGACTCTGGGAGTTGAGTCCATGTTGAAACTTTGTATTTTTGTTTGTTTGATTGTTAATGCTGATGTAAAACCCCCGAAAGCTCTACCAAAGTTTGGGACCCGCTTCTAGGAAATCCAAAAGTAGCCACTAGGTGGCACTAAAAGCACGTTGGAGGAGGTTTTGGTAACATTTAATTAAGGGAGAGGCCAGGACAGGGAGGAGGAGGGGGCAGGCGAAGAGTTTTTGGCTGTTCTGCACCTACTCTGCAAGGCCCACTTTTCAGTTTGGGTCTAGGCTCTTTGGCGTGGTGTTAAACAGTGGATGCTAGGAGGGGCGTGCCTGGGAGCTGAGGGGACTACAGCAGTGGCTGGCTGGAGGAGCCCATGTCATGTGGTTGCTGCTTACAGCACTTGTGTAGCTCTGCAGAGCGCCCACACCTTCATCCCTAGTTGGCGGGCGAGTGGCCTGGCTCGCTTGGGGACCCAGAGACCTGCGTGGAGCTCTTTGGTCGGGAAGGGGGCGATGTTGCCTCTGGAGACCTGGGAATTGCCATGGGCCGGTGCAGCTAGCAGATTAAACAGAACACCAAGAAGTTGGGAATGGAACCTGGTGCTCCTACCGGGTCTCCCGCCAAGACTGCCCTGGTGGCCCTGGGCCTCCTGGATGAAACGCCCACCTTGCAGGGCTTCTGCAGCCTTGGGAAATGCAGCCCTGGTGCCTTTAAGAGCCTAGGGCCGGCAGGAAAAGAATTTCAGTTTCAATCTGGCTTCTAAATTTGGAGTTTTGGGAAGGGAGGGATCAGATTTCAGCTGGAAGGGAAGGAGCTGACAGGAAGGCGCTGTGCAGAGCCTCCCCTCCCCGCCCATCCCCCCCAGTTACTGACAGAGGAACCATTTACAAAAGGCCGATCCTCTGGGGAGTGGAGAGGCAGGAACGCAGCGTCTGTGAGTAATTTCCTGCTCAATATGGCTGCTCTGACTCACACGATTCCCCTGGGGTCACTGCGGACTGCAGCGAGCTTGCTCTTTCTCGCTCTTTCTCTTCTCCCTTTGTGGCTAGAATGAGCTATTTTTTTTTTTTTTTTTGTCTTTTCACCCCTGATTCCTTTTTTTCCCTCATCAGTTTTCCTTTCCCAGAGTTGCGGAGTCTCCTTCTGAAGGACTTAGGGAGACCTCGGGCCCCTGAAGGCTTGGAGGTTGTGAGTGCAGCCCCTCGAGAGAAGCAGCGTCCCTGGGCTTTCCACTGATGCGGGCCCAGGGGCCCTGGGGCTCCGAACACTGGCCTCACCCTGGCTCTGCCAGTGGGCCCGAAAGGCCTTTTGGGGATCCGTTCTGTGCCCCTGGTGGGCAAGGCTGGCCCAGGAGACAGAGCTTCTGGTTTCCCAGTGTCCATCTGCCTGCCTTGGCCTCAGAGCCCTTGCTGAGCCGGTCCCTGGAGCTGTTGCTGTTACACAAAGCCAACAGGGTGCTCCTGGGTGGTTGCTCACTGGGCCTTGTCCAGAGAGTGAAACTGGATACAGCTCCAGCGATCCCCAGCTTCCAGGGCCTGCAGAGAGCTGGAGGGAGTGGGGAGGGCAGAGTGAGGGGGAGGGGGTCAGGTAGAGTCTGGTTCTATGGGAGGTGAGGTGACTATAGGCTAGGGGTTCCTGCTGCCCCCCCGCCCCCCCAAGGATAGAGGCTTGGATGATCCCGGGTGAAGGGAGTGGCCCAAGAAAAGCTTCACAGGGACCAGGGTGGGTTTTGGCTCTGTCTGTGCCTTGGGCTCTGGCCTGGCTGCTGGGGAGCCTGGGACCGACAGGACGGATGGAACTGGATAGAAAGGAGGGGCCTGTTGCCCTGGTTCCTGAGACTTGGTTATTGACAGGCTCTTGGGAACTTGGGCCAGGGGAGGGAGATGACAGGGATAAAATGACAGCGTTTTTGAATTAAATTGTAAAAGTTTTGTCAGAGCTGCCCTTACTGTAGAAGGAAGAGGCCGGTGGGAGTGGGTCACCAGGCAGTTCGGGGGCCCATGTGCTCCTGAGGGCCTTTACAGTTATCATGCTTCAGAATACAGAGAGAGCACTTCAGACTGCCCTTCCTCCCTGGAACAGCTCAGGCTCTACTTCCATGCCTGCATGCACAGTTTCTTCGGGAACCTTCCACCCACTCAGGGTCCAAGTCTCTGCTTCCTTGCCAGACTTAGCTTTGCTTTTCAGTCTTCCTTCTGCAGCCTGAGGCCCAGGGTGCTGGGCCCTGTTTCCCCTACAATGCTGCCTGCAAGCTGGAGGGGGAGGTTAGGGAGATTGCGCTGCTTGGTTAGTAAATATAGATGTGCTGGCCTCATAGTGTCAGAGGGATACACTCAGGCACACAACTTCCCTCTCTCAGTGCTGTGGTTTCTGATGTCATGGGAACTTTACTGGGCTTGCTACAGAATTTTTCTCTTCCTTCCTGGCTGGTCAGACTCTGGCCAGGGAAGGGATCAGGAGTGGAGCTGTCTTGCTCCTGGCTGTGCTCACCGCTGTGGCTGCCACCTCTTCCCCACCTCCTGGCTGAGCTGGGCTGGCTTTCTACACAGACCTTGCTCCAGCCTCTGCTGCAGGCACCTGCCTCCTGCCGGCCCTCTTCTCCCCTCACTGTGCTCCGCCTGCTGCACACAGGGTATCAGCTGCCTGGGATTGGTCATACCCACTTTGGCTCTCCCCTAAACTGACCCTCTCCTTGGCTCTTCTAGCTCTGCCTGTGCAGGTGCAGACTAAGCGCCCTGTTTGAGGAGCGGGGTCCAGGCTGCTGCTGCTGATTATTGCAGTGGGAGTGAGGCCCTGTGCTGGACGTGTTCTGAGGCTCCTCGGGAGTTGTTGGGAGCTGTACCAGGAGCTTGGGTGCAGATCTTAACTGTCCTGCGGTTGCTGGGTTTGGTGGGTGGTAGGAATCAGACCTCTTTTCTTTGGCTATGGGAGAAAGATGTGCGATGGGGGGATGGGCAAAGGATGCCATTTTCCTGTTGGGCCTTGAGGGCCAAGGGGGACCCCTGTCTCTGGCACTTACATGTGTCTGTTTGTATGTGGGCTCCACAGGCAGATGCCTGGCTTGGTCCCTGAGCGAGCGAGTGAGTGAGAGAGAGAGCGAGCAAGCGAGCGAGTGTGCGTGGGTGCGTGCGTGACTTTGCTGCAGGGTAGTGGGAATGGGCTCCCAGGCAGACGTGTCTCCAGCTTGGGGACTCTCTTTTCCAGATGAAGACTGGCCCATTTGCAGAGCACTCTAACCAGCTGTGGAACATCAGTGCTGTCCCCTCCTGGTCCAAAGTGAACCAGGGTCTCATCCGCATGTATAAGGCCGAGGTGAGTGGGGGCTTGCCAGTCTGCCCGCCCTGCTGCCACACTTGGTCCTGGGGCTGGGGACAAAGCAGAAGATGTGGGTCCTAGGGCTCTTGCTTCTCTCTACCCTACTGTGTCACTCTAGATCTTAGGTCAACCACTCTCACCCTTGGGACCTCAGTCTCCCATCTGTGGGGTGGGCAGTTAGAAAAGCACTGGATTCAGGCCCAGTTCTGTCCTAAAAAGCTCAGAGGCTGTAGCAAGGACCTGCTGCTGGGGGAGTGGCGGGGGGAGGGGTCCTCTTCCCACTTGTCAAATGGCCGAGGGCCCCTCTGAGCCTAGGCAGCCTGAGTCTGTCTCTCCCATGGCACACTTGGAAAAGGGGCTTATCCTTTGGAGACACCATGCAGAGTGGTGCCCTCAAACATTGGTATGTATGATCGCTGGGTGGGGTGAGGTCTGGGGGAGGCCAGAAACTCACATTTTTAGTGACCACTTCAGATGATGTTGATACAAGTGGTCTCCCCTGCTCTCAGATCCTTCCCTGTGGTTTCCTGGAGCTCCCCCTGCTGGGAGGCGGCTGCCCTTCTGCTCAGAGGGTGATTCTTGCTCTCTCTTCTTGGCATTGTTCTCCCAGCCAAGAAGGTGGTGGCTTTTTCTCTTGCAAGTAAGGAGAACTTGCGTCACTTCAGCCCTGTCCCTTGCACTAGCTCCTGCCACATCTTGAGCAGACTAATACTGGAACTGCTTGACCTTGGCCTGGGAAGGTTCTAGATGTAAAGTTCCTCATCTAGGATGATGGGTTCCCGAAGTCCCTTCTTTTTGCCTTCAGGCTGGCCTTGGCGACTAGTTCATGGTCTTAGATATTGTCCGGTGGATACTCATCTCTTGACTCTTGTTCATCCTCTTTTGGGAGGGGCTGCTCCAGGTCTTCAGTGTAACCAGAGCTTACACCATCTCATCAGCAGAGGCAGGACCACGGGGAAGGGTGTCAGAGGGCCAGCAGGATCCCGGAGTACAAATGCTTCCAGTTGGCCCGGCTCCCTCGGCACAGCCCTGAAAGGGTTAACAAGGCTTGAATTGAGCGGGCCTGGCCCTCTTCTCTCCCTTCCTTCCGCCCCTTTCCCTCCTCCTCTGCTCCAGGTCCCCTTCCTCTGGACTTCACATCCTGTATTTAGGTTCCAGCCCACATACCTCTCTAATCTGAGAGGAGTTTACTGGGGTTGCAGCTGCTGGTCCTGGGCTTTCCACTCCAGCTCTCCGCAGCCCAGGGAGCCCCTGCCTCACTGCCCTCTGGTGTCCTGATGCTCCTGCCCATCCCCCACTGGGTACCGCTGGGGAACTCTGTCATCCTGTTGTACCCTCCCCCCTTCTAGGGGCTGTCTCAGCTTGTGAGGGGTACACAACACCTCTCCAGCCTCCCCCTGACCCCTGACCTTTGTGTGTCAAAGACAGGACTCTCTGGCTGCCTTTTCTGCTTAGAACTTTAAATACTGCCCTTTCTGCAGGTCTCTTAACTTATCTTGACCCAGGCCCCTTAAGGGCAGGGTGGGAGACCCCATCCTTTTCTCCTACCTGCCCCATCCAGAGGCAGAGAAACTCCAGGGTGACAGAGGGTGAGGGAGGAGCACATTAAGATTCAAAATGGAGGCCAGGTGCGGTGGCTCACGCCTGTAATCCTAGCACTCTGGGAGGCCAAGGCGGGTGGATTGCTCGAGGTCAGGAGTTCAAAACCAGCCTGAGCAAGAGCAAGACCACATCTCTACTATAAATAGAAAGAAATTAATTGGACAACTAAAACCATACATAGAAGAAATTAGCCGGGCATGGTGGCGCATGCCTGTAGTCCCAGCTACTTGGGAGGCTGAGGCAGCAGGATCGCTTGAGCCCAGGAGTTTGAGGTTGCTGTGAGTTAGGCTGATCCCACGGCACTCACTCTAGCCTGGCCAACAAAGCGAGACTCTGTCTCAAAAAAAAAAAAAAAAATTCAAAATGGAAAATGGTGATGGCGCAGCAGAATTGCAAGAACAAAACAGTTGACCATGTAAAAGCTGACAGTATTTCTACGGTTGTTGAACACAGAATGTTGAACGCAGGAGGACAGCACCAGAAGGAGGGCGCTCTAGTAGATAGCAAAGTGGCCTTCTTGAAAATGGGAAATTCCAGCACAGGCCGAGTGCTGCATGTGGGAAGGGTGGGGGGTGGACTTCTTTGTAGGACAGCACTGGAACTCGCTGGTTTCTTTGCAACATTCAGTGCTCACTGATGAGTTCCTAGCAAGTAGCCCTTAGTTTTTGGTCCCAGAGAGTCTGTGGGATGGTATGTGGCTTGCTCAGAGCTCCAAGGGAAGGGCTTGGTTTTTCAGACCAGTTCTCAGTCCACAGGGAGCACCTTCGAGGCCCATCAGTCCTGCAGTTCAGAGGGGACTGTTGGCCAACCCGAGTTGGCTGCTGGAGGAGAGATGGCCTCCCAGAGCTAGAAAGAGCCTGCCCAGCTTGGCATTAGGTGGCCTCAGGATTTGGGACTCTCTGCGCATCCAAGATGCCTGTCCTGGCCCTTCTGAACTGAAGCACCAAGTGCTCTCAGGCCTTGTGTGGTGGGTGGTGGTCTCGTCATTCCCAAGGGTCATCACTATGCTGGTGCTGCCTTCCAGAAGGGCCTTGCAGGGCTTAGAGAGTCCCTTCTCCCTCCTGAATCACTGGAACCTCCAAGGACCTAGGGTCCTAGCCTCTGGGATGGGACATGCACCTGGAAGGTCTCTGAGGGATAGTCTGGACCTGCTCTCTCTCGGCACGGTTAGCTGGGCGGGCCTTGCTGGGGGAGAGGCTGGACTGGAGGCTCCTTTGTGCCCTGGAGCCTTAGACTTCCTGTGCCTCAACAGCCTCTTGCCTTCAGCTCAGCTCCTGGCTTCCCTTGTGGCTCAGAGGAAGCTTGTTCCTTGGTCCTGTGGGCGGAGTGGAGAGAACTGCCCCTGCCCTCTCTTGTCTTTGCCCCTTCTCTCATGTGAGAGCTGGAAGCAGGTTGACCTTTGAACCCTTCTGGAATTTCAGGGCCCTGGGGGGGATGCTTTTACTAACTCCCACCACTTCCTGATGACATAAGCACAATGGCAGCTGCTTTTGCTTTTGCCTCTGGCCTGGCTCTGCTGCTCCTCCTCCCTCCAGAGACTACCCCCTAGTTGCCTGCTCCCCACTTTCTCTGTCTCAGGCCTAGGACTCTGGCTGTGCCCCTCTTTGCTCCCTCTCTGAGCTTAGTCCCCACCCTGTGTGCCTCTCCGTCCTTGGTTCTGCAGCTGGTTTGTGAGGTGAGGGAACCTGGGCCAATCACTGCACCCATTTGTCCCTCTAAGTTAGTTGGAGGTCAAGCCCACAGCTACAGAGTGAGCCTCTCACCCCTGCTGAGGCCGTGGGTTGCCCCACCCCTCCTAGGAGGTGCCCAGTACACTCTGGCTGTCACTGTGGCCAAGGTGTGGGAGGAGGCCCTGGGCCAGCTTGGCAGGTCAGACCTCGCATGCCCAGAGCCACTTCCTGTGTGGTGGGCTTAGCAGGGCAGGCGCAGGGAGGTTGGGAGCTGGGTTCGGGTGGCCTGCAGACCAGGCCAGCTTCCAGCTTCTGTGATAGGCCCTGTCGGTCTCTCCAGACCCTCCCCTCTGCTAGGGGCCTGGGTCAGCTGAGCTCGGGAAGTTGGGCCACCCCCTGCTCAGCCATCCCTCCCCTTCAGCCCCCACTCCCAGGGCTGCTGGGAATTGCTGGGGGGGAGGGAGGACACAGGATGTCAGCTGGTTCTTATTGTCTCACTCTGAAGTGCCAAAATGCCTTTTTCAGTCCAGAGAACTGAAAACTAGAGAAAATAGGCCTCTTCTGGGGCTTGTGTTCAAATGTCCCCACATCACTTTTCCAGGGCCAGGACCTGAGCTAGGGGGCCCCAAAGATCAGGAGGGTTTTTTTCACCTCTGGTCCCCAACTTCCCCCTCTGGGCTGGGTGATGTCACTTGGCTGCCACTCTTCTTGGCTTCTGCTTTGTGGGGTTGGGTTCTCGTTCTCTCTCTCTCTCTCTCTCTCTCTCTCTCTCTCTCTCTCTCTCTGGTGGGTCTGACTGCTGTGGAGTGGTCCTTGGATGGGGGCGAGGATGAAGGTGCTGGGTGGGAAGCCTCACCTTTCCCCAAGAGTGGCTGCTCTGGATGGGCCACCTCCTGGGAACTGCTGTGTTGTCAGCGTCCCTGGCGTGGTGCAGCCTCACCGCTCTGCTCTCCCTCCTTTCTCACAGTGCCTGGAGAAGTTCCCTGTGATCCAGCACTTCAAGTTCGGGAGTCTGCTGCCCATCCATCCTGTCACGTCCGGCTAGGAGGGGCCAAGCCACTGAGCCTGAGCCACCCAGGCCTCAGTTCCTGGGCCCGCCTTCCCCGTCCCAGCCACACGGCCCCCTCCCTGCCCCCTCCCTCTATTCTTTCTGTTTGATGAGGCTGTTTACTGGGGTAGGGTAGAGAGCGCAGGGTTGAGGGGGGCTCAGAGCATAAGGCTGAAGGACCCAAGCTGGGAGAAGTGACCAAAGTGTGGTTAGTTTCCTAACCTCCCCTGTGGTGGACGGGCAAGAAGAGAAGGGCCGGGCCCTGTCCTGGGCTACCCTCTCCTGTCCTGTCCTGGCCTCCTCTCCCTTCTCTCCTGACAGTCTCACTTGAGAACAGGGGCTGTTCCGCTGCTGGGGAGGGGAAGGCACTCGCTGCTTCCTCTGCTTTCCCTTCCTGCAGGGATCTCTTCCGAGGGTTCAGCACTTGCTCCTCTCAGGGCGGGTCGGTTCCAAGCCATGTCTGTGTGGGCGTCTGCGCTTTAGGGCTGGAGGCGGAGGCTGACGGCCAGCTGTGGGGTGGGGTGGGATGGGGTGGTAGAGAGGCTGTAGCTGTCCAGGCTCGTGGCCCTCGCAGGCTCCTTTTCACGCTGCCCCTGGGCCCAAGGGCAGGTGTGTGTCCAGAGCAGCTTCCTGGCTTTACTGTTCTCTGTTCCTCGGCTTTGCTAGGTTTCCTGGCCGTAGCCACATGTCCTCTCTCTCCTGCCCCCGGCGCAAGAGCAGCCTAGCTATGGAAGCTGCCCTTTGGATAGGCACTGAGCTCCTGGGAGGGCCTGGCTGATTGGGTGAGGCCTGTCTTTCCAGAGCTTTCCCTGGCAGAGAAGAGGTGGCAGAAACTCAGGAAGGGGCTCAGGCCCATTGTGTCTGGAGGACCTGAATTCTCCAGGGCCGATGTGCCCAGCCCCTCCCGCTGCCTCTGCCCAGTGCACTGCTGCAGCTTCACCCAGCCCATTGGCCCTGCTTCTCTGCCCCCGGGGGGTGGGCGGCAGTGGGGGGCCCAGAGGCAGCAGCCTCACTCCCTCGTTCCCACCTCCCCAGACCTGCTCTTTGCCTGTATGGGATGAGGTAAGTGACGGCCCCCAAGCCCAGGCATTGGCTGTAGGATGGGCTGGGCCACCCCACTGAGGGCTGAGGGGCCTGGCAGCAGCATGCCTGTTGCTGGGGTTTCTCTTAGGGGTCTTCCTGTCCAGGCCCTTCTCCACCTCCCCCTCCTGAGTCTCCGTGCATATCCCCTTTGGAATGGGGGTGCACCAAGAAGCACAGCACAGGGGCTTGAACTGGGGTCGGGCTGATGGTCTGGGCTGAGGCTAGGACAGGAACCACAAGAGAGTGTCACAGACATAGCTTCCCAGGAGAGGCCTAGCGCCTGCCTTCCTCCCAGGACCAGACCACTGCCTTCCTGGCCCTCCCATGCCCCCAGCCCCTGCGCCTTCATTGCTGTTTGGATTAAAGCCTCTGTTTTGCACCTGTCACCTGTGTGAGGTGTGTCTTTTCATGCCACGTGTTTGTCCCATCTCTGCATGACTGTTTGACCCCCATCAGGTCCTTTCCCCTAGAGCCACAGGGTCTAGGGCTTGAGCTGTTTCAGTTTGGGTGAAGCCTGAACCGGAGCCTGTCCCCTCCCCTGGGCAGTGGGACAGGTAGCAGAGTGGGCTCTGAGCAGAGACTTGGGTTTCAATCCCAGCCATAGGTTGTAGGTAAGTTACTCTTACCTACAAGAATCTCTCTGAACCCCAGCTTCCTCATCTATAAAATGGGGACAGTCACAGGGTGACTTCCTGGAGTGGACAACAGATATGAAGTCCCCAGCCCATTGCCTGGCACATAGCAAATCCTCATGGTCACTGTGGCTGTTTGATGAGAGCAGCCCCTCTGGGCTCCTGGCCCAGCCCCATGCTGGCTGAGGGAGAACAGGAGAGGCTCGGCTTCTGGTCACCTTGCACCTCCTTGGGGGACCCTGGTGGCCAGGAGCCCTGCCTCTGGAGTCAGGCGTACCCTGCAGGCAGGGCGGGGCAGCTGGGAGCTCAGCATCCAGAGGGCAAGGTGTGGGGAGAGGGTGCCCTTTGGCCTCTGCTCAGGATTTGGCGAGTTCTGTGGGAAGATGCTGGAGGGCTTTGTGGGTGAGAAAGGCCTGGGATGGGTGAGGGCCAGAGGGGGACGGGACCATTTGGGAGGCTGTAGCTCTGGGTGGGCACAAGGGTGGTGGCCCCGGGAGGGTTTGGGTAAGATTGGTAGGGAATGGTTAGATTCAGGCTGTCTTTGGAGGTGCGAGTGGGAAAAGGGCAGCCAAGAAGCCCCCAGTTCTTGTCTGTGTAGCTCGATGCCGTTCACTGGGGTGGGGAAGACTGGGGGGGCTTTGCTGTTAGGGCGAGGGGATGCCTGTTAGCTTCTGAGAGGAGGTGTGTGGGCTGCAGGTGGGGCTGTGGGTGTGGAGCCACCAGGCCCAGGAGTGCCACGCGAGCAGAACTGGACGGGGAGGGGGAGGGGCAGGAGACTCTGAGGTCACAGCCCTGGAGTGGGTAGAAGAGGAGCAGAGGCCCTGTGTCTCACCTTGCCGAGGGCTGCTCCGGGGCTGGCTGGCGGGGAGGAATGGGAATAGCACACAGGGACAGTGCGTGACCCTATGAAATCAGCTCGCTGAAGCACAGAGGTAAGGTCCTCGCCCCAGCCACCAGCCTGGAAGTGGGAATCTGGAGTGGGCCATCTGGTTCCCAAGCCAGACTCTTGCCCGGACAGAGCTTGGAGTTTGCTGCAGTGGGGAGAGGGGCCGGGCTCGGGTCAAGGGCTGGCTTTCTGAAGGGGCCCTGAGAGGCGGAGAGCGATGATGGCGGGAAGGTGCGCCATCGAGCACCCATCAGGTGGGTTGTACTGGGTTTACTTTTGGGGGGAAGTGGGAGGCAAGGCCATTGCTTGCCCGTGGTGCAGGCACCGAGGACGTGGGCAAGGGCTTCTGGGCAGGGCGGCACGCCACTCAGGCCCAGGGAGATGGGACATGGGAGGACTCACACCTCCAGCCCATGCCGTGCTCAGTGGAGGGTGGCTGTGTGGCTGTCACCCCCAGAAACTCAGGTGTCTGGGAAGCCATGGGAGAGTGGGAGGTGTGCAGGTGTCACTCCCAGGCCAGAGAGGCCCCAGAGAGCAAGTTGACCGCAGCGCTCGTGGTCCTTCCTGGCCCATAGGCGTGGAGGGCACACTAGCTCTTGGGAGGTGAGAGGAAAGATTCCTTTCCTAAGAGGAAGAGCCTGGGTGGGAGTCGGGGCTGGAAGGGGAGAACCAAGCTGAGTGCTTGGTGTGCCCAAGACTTGGGCCCAGGTCGGGTGACATGTTCTTATTGAATCCAACAAGCATTAAGCACGTGTTACGTATAAGGCATTTGGGGGAATACAGAGATTTAAAAAGGTGAGAATCCTGCCTTCAAGAAACTTCCACTGTAGTGGGGAAACATAGTGAACTAGTCGTGGAGGAGGTGCATGGTGACACAGGCGTGAAGGACTCTGGGGGAGCTCGGGGAAGGTGGAGGGGGTGGCTGGTGGGTGGGGCCCTGAGTGAAGGGCTCAGCCCAAGGGCGTCCGGTGGGTTCCGTGGGAGCAGAGGCGTGGGGGTGTGTGTGGCAGGGGCGGGGCTGCAAAGGGGGGGCTGGCCCAGTGGGCTCTGAGCCAGGCTTGAGCCCGAGACCCCTGCCTCAGCTGCCCCTGGCGCTCTGCACAGCGCCCCGCGTTTGATTCTCTCCAAGACGCAAGTGCTCAGTGTCTGTTGTCCCCACTAGGTGAGCCACAGGAGGGCGGGGCCAGCTGTCTTGTCACTGCTGTGTCCCAGTGCCCAGCGGGAACCTCTGTGTGTGTGTGCGGGGGCTGAGTGTATCTCTGGGATGTGTGTGTGTGGGGTGTGCGTGTGTGAATGTGCGCGGGTGTGGTAAGTGGGATGTGTACGTGTGTGGAGTTGAGTGTGGGGTATGTATGTGTGTGGGTGTGTGTAGAGTTGTGTGGTCTGAGTGTGTAAGTGCATATGTAGGGTGTATTGCCTGTGGGGGTGTGTGGGTGTGAACATGGGTGTGTATGCATGTGTGGGGTGTGGGTGTGAACGTGGGTGTGTATGCATGTGTGTGGGGTGTGGGTGTGAACGTGGGTGTGTATGCATGTGTGTGGGGTGGGTGTGGTGTGAACTGGGTCGTGTTGCATGTGTGGGGTGATGGGCTGTACGAACTGGGTATAACGCAATACAGGGGCTGTGGGTGTAGACAAATGGAAAAAAATGACAGTGTGGACATAAGACATGGGTAAAAAGAGAAAAGGAGAGAACGTGGTAAGAGAAGAAGTAAAACGTGGTGTGTATCATGAGTAATAGGAAGAAAAGGTTCTTGTGTATGCATGGTGTGGGTGTTGGGGTGTGAACGTGGGTGTGTCATGCATAGTGCATTGCTGGGGTGTGGGTGTGAACGCTGGCGTGTGTATGCATGTGTGGGGTGTTGTGTGTGGGGCGTGGTGGGTTGTGTGAATGTGGTTGGTGGTTGGTGAACGTGGGGTGTGTGGTGGGGTGTGTGTGGGGTGTGTGGAGTGTGGGTGTGTGAACGTGGGGTTGTGTGATGTGTGTGGAGAAGCTGTGGGTGTGACTGGTGTTGTCAGTGTGGGCTGTGTCGCACTGAGTTGTGTGGGTATTGTGGGGTTGTGTATGTGGGGAGGTGCGTTGTGTGGGGTGTGTGGGTGTGGGGGTGTTGGGTTGTGGTGTGTGAACGTGGGGTGTGTGGGCTGTGGGGACGTGTAGGTGTGAGGTAGGTGTGGGGTGTGTGGGTGTTGGGAGTGTGGGTGTGGAGTGGGTTGTGGGTGTGTGTGGGTTGTGGGTGTGGATTACATTGGTGTGTTGGGTGTGTGTAATCGGTGTGTGGTTGTGATGGCGTGTGTGTGGGTGTGTGGGGCGTGTGTGGGTTGGGAGTGTAGGTGTGAGCGGTGGGTGTGGGTGTGGATCGGAGCTGTGGGGTGTAGGTGGTGTGTGTGGTGTGGGTGTGTGAAGGTGGTGTGTTGGGGTGTCGTGGGTGTGGAAGTAGGTGTGGCGGTGTGCTGGCCCTGTTGTGCACCCGCTCGTGGTGGTGGATGTGTGTGGGTTGTGTGGGTTGTGACATAGTGTGTGTGGGGTGTGGGTGTGTGAACGTTGTGTGGGGTGTGTGTGTGTGTCGGAGGTGTGGGTGTGAGGTGGTGTTGGGGTGCTGTGGAAAGTTGGTGCTGTGTTGGTGTGTTGTGATTGTGAATGGTGTGTGTGGGTGTGTGGCTGTATGAATGTTGTGTTGTGTGGGTGTTGGGTGTCGGGGTGTGGTGTGGGAGATGGGTGGTGTGGTGTGTGAAATGGGTGTGG